TGGTTTTATTTCATTTCAGCTACGGCCCAGAAGTTGGGAGTTGCGTCTGGGGATGTAATTCTACAGATCAAGTGATGTGAGGCCAGCTACAGCAACAGTGGCTCTCTCTGGTTTAGGTCTTGTTCTAAGAAGTGACAGGTAGGTCATGCTGTAGCTTATTAAAGCCCAAACGGGGAACGTAGACACATTTAAGAGAGTCCACCTTCCAAAACCAGTATTGTTATATGGACAGCAGGGGAAACATGCTGCCTTCAAAATCAGATACCTGCATCACCAGCAAACATCACCTATTGCAATGAGAAATCAACTGAGGTCTGAGTTGAAAGAGAAGAGCTACAGGCTACTGGTCGATTCTTTTTCCAGTGAGGGCTTTTGGCAGATAACAGGGAAACATCTGCACGGTCTCACAGAAGTTGGCCATGCCATGTCGTTACTGCAGCTGTATTTGTACCCAGCCTTTAGCTAGCACCTGCTTGCACCCTCTTGATGAAAACAGGTTTTGTGAAGATGCCAGACCGTGCCTGGGGGCACTGAGGAGCAACACTTGCCCTGGCCTTTTAATGTTTGAACAGCTGTGCTGGATTTGCCAGAGGGTGTCTGACCGGGTCGTTAAAAATTGATCCCTGAGTAAGCAGCCCCAGTGCTATTTACTCCAATTCAGCTGTGATAATTTACACCATCTGAAGAGCAGCCTAATCCTGCACTGGCAAATCTCTGAGATACTTGCTACTGACTTGAACAGAAGGATCCTTGTGGCAAGGGGAGTGCAATTTCCCCATCACTAATGACTCTGGACAAGAGAATAAAGATACAACACAATTTAAAATAAAAGGAATTAATTCAGAATGAAAACATAATTGCTAAGACAGTGGTCACCGGCTTGTGCTGATGCAGGAGACCCGTGTATGCTGACATACAGTATAGATGTTGGTTACATGCATGATTAAAACAAAATTGCTAGCCACTAACAGCGGAGAGGTATGGAGTTTAACCTTCTCTCAGGTCTGGTCACACTCCTAGTTTTTCTCCTGTTGCACAAGTCGTAGAGGCACCTCAAGGAATATCCATTTGGAAACATGCTAGAGGGAAGGGAAACAGTATGTTCACGACCACAAACATCTATCTTCTAGAAAAGTGTGATTTCCTCCCAACTCTGTTTGGACTAGGTTAGCTATACCTGCAACCACCCACTAATCTTTTCATTGTTAGTGGAGATCCTGCTTCAAATAGGCTTATCTGCTTTGCCTGGCTAAGTGTGATGACTGCTGACTATCAATCAGTACCCATTCTCTTGGTCCTTTCTCTCTACTCTCCTGCTATTAACTTACCAAATGACACACGTCTTAACATTTCTCTTTATGACATAATCTGTGGTCTTGTCATTCTTATTCTTCAAGATACCGCTTCCATCTCTTGACCTTGATGTCTTCAAAACACCTAGAATAGAAAAGAGACACATGTAGGTCGCCTGATTCACCAGGTTGAATGTTCTGTTAAATTAGTGACTTCCTGGAATTAATCCTTAGAACATGAGCACACCACAAATTGCTAGTCAAGTAAATATTTAAGATGTGTATACAGTAAATCTCTGGAGTTTCTGTTAGTAAAATCAGGACTTTGGGGCATGTGGAACACCAATTTCTTACCTACTGCTTCCTTATAAAATTCAGAGAAATGGTAATACTTGTGATAGCATTCAAAATTTTGGAGATAGTTTTACTTTGCTGTAAACCTGTTTGATCCAGTCATCTTTTTTTTGTCATGCTGTAGACAAATATGCTCAAATTAATTAGCATGGTTCTAGTTTATTGGTAAGTGTGTCCATTTTAAAGAAGCTAAAACTGATGCAGTTTCTTGAGTTCATTAACTACAAACCTTCACCTGATTCTAACAGCAAAAGTTTCAGGCTCTCAAAGCAAATGTAATGCAGCAATGGTTTTTTTTTTTTAACTTCGGCTGGTTCAGGTAATTTCACGTTTGGTATAAATGGTAATGATAAGACACGTTGACATCACTACGTTTATAAAAAGAACATACAAATGCACAGTGACATTTTACACAGTGGTTGCACATAAGACACTCACAAACTTGAAGTCCAACGCTGTGGGGTGCCGAGTACTCTTAACTCTCATTTAGTTCAATGCGAGTTGAGAGTGCTTCGTGGTTCAGGTGCTCGGGCCCTCAGTGAGGCTCTGCACAGTAAGGAATTATACCAACATTCATGTCTCAGCCGAGTAATTTCTCCTTTCTAGTACGTGCGTTTCTAATTGCTGAATTAGTACAATTGGCTGATAATCATAGTCATATAAATGATCTTCTGGTATTGAAGTGCTCTTTCTGAAAGTTAATAAAGCTCACTCAACATCGCCTACAGTTTTTCAACACACCGTAATGGAATAATGTAATGAGTACAATGTAAGTATAGTACAAAAGCCGATGTGAAGTTAAAAATGGATCTAGGATTGTGCTGTTCTTGAATACGAGCAGTACAGGGTATGAATTACTTCTTTGAGCTGGGTACAGGAGTTAATCTGTGAACAACGCTGCCCAGCTCACTCGGGTTCACTCCTGATTTTCTTTCAAGATGTGCTTCCCACCCTTTTCTTCCAGTTGTTTTATATGTGCTCATCCTTGTTATTTCCATAAAGGTGATCATGCTTTTAAATTACATCTTCCAGTTTTCTACTGGAATCTGGTTGCTCAAATGGTTTTATAAACTTCTGTAAGAATGTGATATAAGGACACAGCAGAAAACCAACTCTGTTTACAAATTACAGCACAAATCCCAGGTCAATTTGAAACTTTCAGGAATGTGTAGCCCTGTAACACATGAGACTTGTCTCCTGCAGTAGTTGAACACCTTAAAAATTTATTTGTAATTTTAAATTGTTTTCACTATGTGGAAACAGAGTTTTATTAAATTTCATTATTCTGGGATCCATCCATGTCCTGTATGCCCATGACGAGTTTGTTGATATAAGGGTACATTAGTTGTATGTGTAAGACCTCTAGTCCCTTTTTTTCCCCCTGCATGAATAAGACAAAGCTATATTTAGGGAGAAATTGGCTTTGTCTACCTGTAAACAAAGATCACCTGAAACGCAGTCTCATAAGAAGTTGATGGTAATTGGTAATGCCAAATCCTCATTACAGCAGTGGCATTTTCACCAATGGTATGGCGGATTTTGCAATTAAGAACACACAAAGAATTATTCCTTTCTTGCATAACAACATTTTAATGTCAATAAAAATTGGTTTTATAGTTCAAGATTACAAATAAAAAAATATTTCATCTTGACCCTTTTGCTATTTTCCCTCAGGGAGGTCTTCAGATTTTAGTCAGGAAGTGTTAAAAACACGAGGTGGATGGATGCTCGCTCTACAAAAAGCTGAAAGGACTCCCTCCCCACTTTCCCATCGCCGGACGTTTTGAAGGTTTTGCTCCAAGTAAGTCTGCAGAGCATACTCTCTCTCTCTCTCTCTCTCTCATGGCAGGTGAGACCACGGGGGCATACACCACCACCGGATCCTTTCAAGCTGAACGCAGCTGGAAGGGCACTAAAAGGAACGAGTCGAGCGCCTCTCCAACTACCAGGCTGCATGAAGAAGGCACAACATAAGCAATGGTAAAGTCAGTAAACAAAATTTTACTGTAATATTTCATAACACAGATACTGTATTTCTCTTTTAAGTGTAAAGCTACCGTCTTACACAAGAAAGATGGACAGACCCTTTTCCAAGACTAATATGGATACAATAAATATGGAGTTTTACATACTAGATCTGTACACAGAAACTTTGTCCCACAGCCATAAAAATTTACATTTAACAGTGCAACATATAATTTAATCCTTTATTTATCTGACATAGGATGTTTACTTACTAAACACAAGCAACTACCTGGTTTTAATATACATATTTTATATATATATATTCAACAATCTGTACAGGTTTCTAAACATAAAACTCCAAAAAGGCACAATTGTCTATACAACATGTACAAAAATGGCTGGAGCTGACAAGAAACAACAATTATTGGTCAAGAGTTCATGATTGCACAAAGATTAGTAATGGGTTTGTGTCAGAAAAATGTGCTTTAAGGAAAGGAAGGTTTGCAAAGAAACCTGTAAGTGTTATAAAAAAAACCCCCAAAAATAAAAACACAATGAAAAACAAAAACTAGGTTGCTATTACAAGTCTATCCTCATCGTCACTGCTGCCATCGCTAAACTGCACCATGTTTTGCCGCCGGGGCAAGGCGGCTGGCCTGTGTACCTGTCTGTCCGGGGAGACAGTTCGGTGGACCGGGGACTTGGTTAACGCATCGGGATTCGCCTTGGAGGGGGGCTCTGCCGGGGCAGCCCTCTTCACGTGGAGGGAAGGGACGTCACGCTTTGGCTTGGCGGGGTTCGTGAGGTCAGTCTTTTCGGGATCCGCTCTCTCTGGACCGTTGGGTCGCTCGTAGTCGGTCAGGGGGGTGGCCTCGGGGTGGTTCTTC